GTCTCGTGAACAGACATCCGTGAAAGCCATGTTCAATCATTGAAACTGTCGTACAAACTGACGCAGTTGTAGAGACAACACTCAGGGCACAGTCATAACCGAAATTCGTGAACGATTTCAATGATTTCATTGGCATAGGATATAAAATGCATCGGTAGGGGATATGAAAACACATCATTAGCTCGACACAAACTGTTGGTGCCCTCCCCGGTTGTGGTGTCTGTTGAATCATGTCCTTAAAAAGCGAGTGAGTGAAAGTTGGTTTTCGCTGCGTCAATAGTTTTGCAGATTTTGGCTCCTGGTCCTTAAACAAGCGCGATAATGCCAACTGAGCAACGACCTTAAAACGTCAGCTGATTTGTTACTTATATATGATGCCGAATCGATGTACAAAATGTAGTAATTTGAAATGGTTACAGATGAAGATATTATACGATATTATACCTACAAACATTTTCCTAAATAATATCAGTCTAAAAGACACTTGTATCTGACATTCTGTTCAAAAGAATTAGAAACAATTGTCCATCTATTCTGTAATTGTTGTCATGTTAAAAAGATTTGGGAGAGTTTGACCAGATGGTTAATGACTGTAACTGAAGGCAACAACGACTTTACACCAGAAAACATTTTACTTGGATTTAAAGGGGAAAATAATAATTCTTTAAATGCAATATGTCTTGTTGTGAAACAGGTAATAATATATACACAAAAAAATCAAACAGCAAGTTCCAAATTTCAAACATGTAGTAGGTGAGATATCAAAATACTATGAAATTACAAAATATAATGCTTACTCTACATGCAGTAACAGCGAGTTCTTTACCTTGTGGTCATCCTTCCACAATGTATTTACTGAGCATATTAGGTCAGAAAACATATTGTAAGTGTATTCAATCATTATTACCACTATTGGATACCAAGAGATAAAGTATGCAAACATATTCAAAGATATCGATTTATTGTATGATGGTGATTTGTGAAAGTATATTGAGTATATGTATATTGTGAATGTATTATACATATATTGCACTGTGGAAATAAAGATGGTAAAAAACACCAAAAATATATATTAAGTGTTATGATTTACTGCTTTACGCCACACTGAGAAATGTTCGATGCTGGACCAGTCAAACTAGTGGTGGTGTGATCAATGGACTACAAAGAACGAAATCGTTATAATAACAATGACTGACTGACTGACTGAGTTTGGCTTTACACCGCTTTTAGCAATATTCCAGCAACATCACGGCGGGGGACACCAGAAATGGGTTTCACACGTTGTACCAATGTGGGGATTCGAACCCGGGTCTTCGGCGTGACGATCCAACGCTTTAACCACTAGACTACTCCCCACCGCCCCTATAATAACAATGAAGCAGCTTCCAATTACCAAAGCAATATGCATTTTAATGAATACATTGAAAGTGGTTCCAAGGCATCTGATTTGCTTCCAATGCGTTTGCGTTTATTCTCCCATACACATGAAACATAATTATCGGACTACTGTTTCCTGATTGGCTGATAACAGAATGGGCGGGGCGTGTGTTGTATTATTGCGCTGAACAAACGGTGATGTCTTGTTTTAATAAAGTAATTGTGTTAATCTTGAAATGTTATTTACCCGCAGATGGGTTTTCACTTGTATACCTCGATAAACGCATGAAAATTATAATTTTTAAACTTTCTTTAAATAATCGTTCTTAATGGCGAGTGTCCAGAATAAAGGGGTCCTGTCTTAGGGGATTTCCCCGCTTTCTTATGAACACATAAGTAAACCTGATGTAAGATTGCCACGTTCTGCAAAGTCATTCGTTCGATCGAGTACAGATCGAGTTGACACACAAACATCTAGTCTGTTTCATAGTTCCTGAACCACATTATTTTCCGTACTGCTAGCCCTCCCTGCAATGCTGAAGCCCTAAATGAAGCAAGTCTAGATTCCCTAAGGTGAATCTCTTGTCTCCCAGGGACTACTTTTCAATATAAATGGGATAATTTGTTGTTATAAAATTATACATAATCAGAGACTAAGCGTTAGTCTAGCAAACATCCAGCATCGTAAAACCGTGAGATCTGCATCCCTTCTTGCAATGTCCTTACGTTTCCTTGAGACGAACAGCTGTAATTCATTATATCCTTATAAACTATGAATGATTCTGCTCTGACTGAATCTTTGTGTGAACTTTGGCCTAATAATTACCCTCGTCTCGCGCTACTGACCGCCGGTATGGTCTAGTGCATAGCGCGTCTGCCTGTCGGTAGTTTGGTTCCCCGGTGGCGTCACACCAGTAGACGTTAAAAGAATGTACTTGTTGTTGCTTTGCCTCTTGCACTGGGCTAAAACAGGGTCATGTCGTCTCGAAGTCAGAATGCTATGTATGGGTGGGATATGCATGTTAAAACTGCATAATATCACAATTGACAAGCTCTATACCAGCATACTGGGCGGTGTTGTGGCTTAGTGGTTAAAGGTTTCGCTCGTCACGCAGAACAATTCCCCACATGGGTACAATGTGTGAAGCACATTTTTGGGGGGATATTGCTGGAATATTGCTCAAAGCGGCGAAAATCATACTCACTCACTCACTCACTCACTCACTCACTCACTCACTCACTCTCACTCACTCACTCACTCACTCTACGAACATATTCCAAATAGTAGTAATGTTGACTGCAGCGTTAAACGCCATTTCTCCTAAACTCACCTCAAACGAACTAGTTCTATATGGTATAATACCATGTAGTTTCGAAACTGTAAAACAGGTGAAAGTGATGCGTTTTGAGGTCTGTAACAGACAAGCTCACAGAAAGATGACTCACAACTAACACAATGACTTACTAACGAGAATCAATCTGAATGTTATGACTCAAGCAGTTAGTTTTTCTGAAACTGAAATAGTCAGGTTAGTTCTTCAAATCTGCGAGCTCTTTGAAACCTAACCTAGCAACAACTAGGGTTGATGTCAAGCACCGTATTGGCTTATGTGTACATACTCTCAGATACGCTTTGATACTCTGTTGACATTGTGGGGAAAATGTCAACAGTATTTTTCTGATGCATGTCATACACAAGAGGAATAGTCAAACACTATTTCGTGATATATTAAAACAATAGATCCAACAAAAGAGGAAGGCCACGTGGTGGGTTTGATCTACAGTTGCAATGACGTTGCTAATTATCCACACATAGCAATTATTGCCAACGATTACTCGCTTTAAGCACCACTTTATTGCTCTTGTATTGTACTAGGGATTTTAATTCTTAACTTCAAAGGCAGGTACCCACATGGTCCTGGGATTGCTCCTGTCAACAGCGTCTTCAGATTACCCGTCTCGATGTGAGAACAGGTAAATCTGGCGACAACTCTTTCCCTATACGCCACGACCGTTGCTAACATATGAAACTTTGACTTCGTCATAAATTTTTTCCTGCATCTGATGTTTCGTTTCATGTGACACTCCATGGCTTGTATTTCGTCAAATTACCGTTAATAGGTCACAGAACCCGTAGACAAACAATGGCCGATTACTCACAGAGACCTTATACATAATACATCTTTTGGTCAAGTCTTATAAAGGCTCACGCGAAGGAAACTTCGGCTCTTTGATTTTTTTAAGCCAACGACGCTTGGCAGTAATTTACAGGCTCGTCGTGTGATGGTCCGTTTCTCTTGAATGACCAGCCAGAAGAGCCGATGGTCAGCTGACTACTAATTGCCCACTCATATGTCTGTGATTGTTGTGATGGTCACTCAAGCGGTCTTGCATGGGTCATTTCCATTTGGGACACAAAACTCTCGCTGACTTAGCGGATATCGGTTTTACATCGGCGTTGCATAACAACTGTGGACAGATGGTTGCACTACAAAAGCAAAGTAACAACTTGAGTTTTATTGCCGTTCGCGAACAATATGGCGCTCGCTATCCGTGGTCGCCATCTTGGAACGCTGAGCCAATGATGAGCACGTGTGTCGATCGTAATAGTCACATGGGGGCGGAAGGACGCTGGGAGGGGATAAGGGTGGGGTGGGTAAAGGGGGTCTTGTGTGGCGAGTGTCAGTATCTTAGTACGGCTATTTTGATGATAGGGCTCGAGACATTGCCAGAACGTAAACGTGTCACTGCCCCGACAGCTGTAGTATGACGTCTTCGTGTTTACCGAAAAGTCACAATTGACTTCTTTTGTTGGGCTGTCAGGAGATGTTTACTCAACTTCTGTGTACGCCACAGCTGACAGACATGGCAACTAGGTTCAACACAGTGAACAGCGCTGGTGTTTGCATGAAGACATGTTTGAAACAGTTCTCAACAGCTTGATATGTTGGACTAACGATTTTTCAATAATGACAATACTGACCATTATGGTGTTGACATGAGTAATGGATACTGCAAATATGTTTGCAATACATGCCATTAATAATATTATAAGACAACAATAACATATTTTAAATGATACTGATGATTTAAAGGGAAAATGTCTTCGTGAATAGAATTTGAGTCCAGATAGACAAGATTTTGTGATTTGTATGGCAAAACAGTTCTTGTGCTCAACAAGAAAAATAGGAATTGAAATTCAAAGTACCTTACTATTTCTATCAGTTTCTTGCGACAGGGGGCGGTGGGGTAGCCTTGTGGTTAAAGCGTTGGCTCGTCACGCCGAAGACCCGGGTTCGAATCCCCACATGGGCACAATGTGTGAAGCCCATTTCTGGTGTCCCCCGCCGTGATGTTGCTGGAATATTGCTAAAAGCAGCGTAAAACCAAACAGTGTTGTGCAGCGTTCTGTCGTCATCAGAATAGGACAGGATGAGAGTATAGACTGCGAGAGGTGAAATTGGGATGGGAGGTGAGTTTGAGATGAGAGTATGGTTGCTTCAGGTGAGATTGGGATGAGAGTACATGCTGCTGGAGGTGAGAGTATGGCTGCTTCAGGTGAGATTGGGATGAGAGTACATGCTGTTGGAGGTGAGAGTATGGCTGCTTCAGGTGAGATTGGGATGAGAGTACATGCTGCTGGACGTGAGAGTATGGTTGCTTCAGGTGTGATTGGGATGAGAGTACATGCTGTTGGAGGTGAGAGTATGGTTGCTTCAGGTGAGATTGGGATGAGAGTACATGCTGTTGGAGATGAGAGTATGGCTGCTTCAGGTGAGATTGGGATGAGAGTACATGCTGTTGGAGGTGAGAGTATGGTTGATACAGGTGAGATTGGGATGAGAGTACATGCTGTTGGAGGTGAGAGTATGGTTGCTTCAGGTGAGATTGAAATGAGAGTACATGTTGTTGGAGGTGAGAGTATGGTTGCTTCAGGTGAGATTGGGATGAGAGTACATGCTGTTGGAGGTGAGAGTATGGTTGATACAGGTGAGATTAGGGTGAGAGTACATGCTGTTGGAGGTGAGAGTATGGTTGCTTCAGGTGAGATTGGGATGAGAGTACATGCTGCTGGAGGTGAGAGTATGGTTGCTTCAGGTGAGATTGGGATGGGAGTACATGCTGCTGGAGGTGAGAGTATGGTTGATACAGGTGAGATTGGGATGAGAGTACATGCTGTTGGAGGTGAGAGTATGGCTGCTTCAGGTGAGATTGGGATGAGAGTACATGCTGCTGGAGGTGAGAGTATGGCTGCTTCAGGTGAGATTGGGATGAGAGTACATGCTGCTGGAGGTGAGAGTATGGTTGCTTCAGGTGAGATTGGGATGAGAGTACATGCTGTTGGAGGTGATAGTATGGTTGCTTCAGGTGAGATTGGGATGAGAGTACATGCTGTTGGAGGTGATAGTATGGCTGCTTCAGGTGAGATTGGGATGAGAGTACATGCTGTTGGAGGTGAGAGTATGGCTGCTTCAGGTGAGATTGGGATGAGAGTACATGCTGTTGGAGATGAGAGTATGGCTGCTTCAGGTGAGATTGGGATGAGAGTACATGCTGTTGGAGGTGAGAGTATGGTTGCTTCAGGTGAGATTGGGATGAGAGTACATGCTGTTGGAGGTGAGAGTATGGTTGCTTCAGGTAAGATTGAAATGAGAGTACATGCTGCTGGAGGTGAGAGTATGGTTGGGTGAGATTGGGGTGAGAGATGATACATGCTGTTGGAGGTGTGAGCATGGCTGCTTCCAGGTGAGATTGGGATGAGAGTACATGCTGTTGGAGGTGAGAGTATGGTTGCTTCAGGTGAGATTGGGATGAGAGTACATGCTGCTGGAGGTGAGAGTATGGCTGCTTCAGGTGAGATTGGGATGAGAGTACATGCTGCTGGAGGTGAGAGGCTGCTTCTTCAGGTGAGATTGGGATGAGAGTACATGCTGCTGGAGGTGAGAGCATGGCTGCTTCAGGTGAGATTGGGATGAGAGTACATGCTGCTGGAGGTGAGAGCATGGCTGCTTCAGGTGAGATTGGGATGAGAGTACATGCTGTTGGAGGTGAGAGTATGGTTGCTTCCAGGTGAGATTGGGATGAGAGTACATGCTGTTGGAGGTGAGAGTATGGCTGCTTCAGGTGAGATTGGGATGAGAGTACATGCTGTTGGAGGTGAGAGCATGGCTGCTTCAGGTGAGATTGGGATGAGAGTACATGCTGTTGGAGATGAGAGTATGGCTGCTTCAGGTGAGATTGGGATGAGAGTACATGCTGTTGGAGGTGAGAGTATGGCTGCTTCAGGTGAGATTGGGATGAGAGTACATGCTGTTGGAGGTGAGAGTATGGTTGCTTCAGGTGAGAGATTGGGATGAGAGTACATGCTGTTGGAGGTGAGAGTATGGTTGCTTCAGGTGAGATTGGGATGAGAGTACATGCTGCTGGAGGTGAGAGTATGGCTGCTTCCAGGTGAGATTGGGATGAGAGTACATGCTGTTGGAGGTGAAATTATATGGCTGCTTCATGGGGATGAGAGTACATGCTTCCAGGTGAGAGATTGGGATGAGAGTACATGCTGCTGGAGGTGAGAGTATGGCTGCTTCCAGGTGAGATTGGGATGAGAGTACATGCTGCTGGAGGTGAGAGTATGGCTGCTTCAGGTGAGATTGGGATGAGAGTACATGCTGCTGGAGGTGAGAGTATGGTTGCTTCCAGGTGAGATTGGGATGAGAGTACATGCTGTTGGAGGTGAGAGTATGGTTGCTTCAGGTGAGATTGGGATGAGAGTACATGCTGTTGGAGGTGAGAGTATGGCTGCTTCCAGGTGAGATTGGGATGAGAGTACATGCTGTTGGAGGTGAGAGTATGGCTGCTTCAGGTGAGATTGGGATGAGAGTACATGCTGTTGGAGGTGAGAGTATGGCTGCTTCAGGTGAGATTGGGATGAGAGTACATGCTGTTGGAGGTGATAGTATGGCTGCTTCCAGGTGAGATTGGGATGAGAGTACATGCTGTTGGAGGTGAGAGTATGGTTGCTTCAGGTGAGATTGGGATGAGAGTACATGCTGCTGGAGGTGAGAGTATGGCTGCTTCAGGTGAGATTGGGATGAGAGTACATGCTGCTGGAGGTGAGATGATGGCTGCTTCAGGTGAGATTAGGATGAAAGTACATGCTGTTGGAGGTGATAGTATGGCTGCTTCAGGTGAGATTGGGATGAAAGTACATGCTGTTGGAGGTAAGAGTATGGCTGCTTCAGGTGAGGTTGGGATGAAAGTACATGCTGTTGGAGGTGAGAGTATGGCTGCTTCAGGTGAGATTGGGATGAGAGTACATGCTGCTGGAGGTGAGATGATGGATGAGAGCACCTGCTGACACAGGTGAGGTGAGCATTGGAGGAGCATGGCCGCTTCCAGGTGAGATTGGGATGATGAGTACATGCTGCTGGAGGAGATGGGTGAGATGATGGCTGCTCAGGTGAGATTAGGATGAAAGTACATGCTGTTGGAGGTGATAGTATGGCTGCTTCAGGTGAGATTGGGATGAAAGTACATGCTGCTGGAGGTGAGAGTATGGCTGCTTCAGGTGAGGTTGGGATGAGAAAGTACATGCTGTTGGAGGTGAGAGTATGGCTGCTTCAGGTGAGATTGGGATGAGAGTACATGCTGTTGGAGGTGAGAGTATGGCTGCTTCAGGTGAGATTGGGATGAGAGTACATGCTGTTGGAGGTGATAGTACGGGTTGCTTCAGGTGAGATTGGGATGATAGTATAGAAGGCGGGGATATTTTGTAAAGTATGGAAAGCTGAAGGCGAGATTGGGATGAGAATGTAGGCTGCTATAAGTGAGATTGGGATGATAGTACGGGTTGCTGGAAGTGAGTTGAGGTGAAACGGGGTTTAACGTCGTACTTAAGAATATTTTGCTCATATGACGACGTGCATGCGTGTGTATGTGTGGCTGCTTGTACTAGCCCAGACTTAAGCTGGCTTTATACTCTCAGTCTCTTAGCTCACTGAGGTACCATGCCGCAGCTAAGCACGAATGCCCCACTCAGACACATTATACTGACTCCGAGCCGACCAGTCCTTGTTGTACCCATCAATGCCGAGCGCCAGGCAGTGACCAACAAGTACTGTAGTTTAACGTCTTTTGGTAGTTGCTGGAGGTAAAATTAGCATTATGGTGTTGTTGAAACTAGAGTGAAAGAACAGGCTGCTTGAGGGGAGTATAGGGTGAGCGTATAGGCAAGTATAGGTCAGATTGAGTGATGAGTTTCTCTAGGGGGCAATGTTCATCTTTCAGTTAGTCATTGTTTAGTTATATATAGGAAGAGTAAAAACACAACAACCCAAAATACGAAAAAACGTCACCGTCCTCAGAAATCTCACAGTCCACTGTGAGATTTCGGCTATATCACAAGTACCACCACAAACTGGTGAGTGTATTCTGCGTATGTGGTAGCTCTCGTCGCAGACACATGCAAAGGGAAGTTGAATGTCCACGTAAACCAATGCGAATTAGAATTGATCTTCAGCAACCCATGCTTGCAGCTGCAGATCTAACAGGGTCTTGTGGTCAGGCTCGCTGACTTGGTTGACGCATGTCATCGTATCCCAATTGCGTAGATCGATGCTCATGGTGTTCATCACTGGATTGTCTGGTTCAGACTCGATTATTTACAGGCCGCCGCCATATAGCTTGAATATTGCAAAAATGATAAGTATAACGTTCAACTTTAAACAAACATAACGTAGATCTTTATTGTTGGCTTCCTCCGTTGAAATTGAGTTGGAATGATTCAACAAACAGCGTCACTCACTCACTCACTCTCACTCACTCACTCACTCACTCTCTCACTCACTCACTCACTCTCACTCAAGAACCAAACTGTGATACCCGTTGCAATCACGTGGACGGAGCTCAAGGAGTAACCAGCTCAAGCAAGATGTACAGCCCGACGAACGGATGCAACATGTTTGGAAGTGTGCCTGCTATTTCTACCATAACGGTACACTCTTCCAGTACACCGATTGAGTCATATTTTTCGCATGATTTTAAAAAATCTGGTTCCAGCTGATTTCTCGATGATATGAAATTGAATATGCTTGTCGATAGACATAAATCATATTGAACATTATAATCAGTTTTCTCGGCATGGTACGAGAGAGACTACATGTGATCAGTGCCCTTAGCGTCGACCACGGGGCAATATTCCTGAACATAACTCAACAAAGGTTTTTTTGCTTTCCGATAAAATTTACGAGTCTTTGTTCGAGTCCGCGGGAGTTATCGCCCTTCGTGACTTCCTTTACCGCTGATGTTTCCTCTCACTAGGTGGCGCGTTTCTCGCTGTGATTCGTGCGTTCTGTGATGAAAGAATTTGACGAGGCCACACATGTTTGACACTATGTAATGTGGAAGGTATCATATTATAACGAGCCTCGTCATACTGGGTAAACAACTTCTCTAGATAATGCGTGAAAAATCGGTTTTCAATTAAGTGTTCTTTTTGTATTTTGGTCAATTATAGGGGATAATTTGAATAATTAATAGCTGTTACGTCTGTTATTGAGACAGAGATTAATTAGGTTCTCAAATAACATTTTTCGTGGGAGTTCAACCACGGACATTTCAAAAACATGTGTGTTTTTGGTGTGTTTTATAATCTACATTTTGTTAATACAAATGCCACTTAATAAACATGTATACGATCGTTGGCAATTTTGATTACTTGTTGATCGATATCCAGAGCCGTGTAAGTTTTTCAGTGTGTCTGAGTATAAGTCGTTATTCAGAGATTGACTTTCATGCTTGTGATTGTAAACCGCTTTTGTTTCAAACGTGCTATGGTATAAATCGTCTTCATATTCATTGCATTTTGATTTACAACCAAACACTTTCAGACGGGTACTATTTTGCTGTCGAGCGTTTAGAATATAGGCAATATTTCCATAACCATCTTTATCTATAGCATGATTTTATCACTCTGACTGTATCATAAGTATCCTGGGCGGTGGGGTAGCCTAGTGGTTAAAACGTCCGCTCGTAACGCTGAAGACATCAGGTTTAAGCTACACTGTTCATATTAAACTGGGGCGGTGGGGTAGCCTAATGGTTAAAACGTCCGTTCGTAACGCTGAAGACCCGGGTTCGATTCCCCACATGGGTACAATGTGTGAAGCTCATATCCGGTGTCCCCGCCGTGATATTGCTGGAATATTGCTAAACGCGGCGTAGAACCATACTCACTCACTCATAAGTAACCGAATATGAATCACCGTCAAATACACCTTGCAAGATGGAACGATGGGCGTATCGTACCCAGTCGTTGGCACCCGTGCCAAATTCAAATCAGTTGCTCATGTGACATAAACCTGAAACATCTAGTACATGCAGATACACTGACAACAACCCTCGTTTTACCAAGAACCTCATCAACCAGTGACCCGTGAAGATCCGGGTTGGAAACGATCTTCAATAGCCCATGCTTACTGGATCTGGTGGTCAAGCTCGTATCCCAATTGCATAGATCGATGCTCATCCTGTTGATCACTGGATCGTCTGGTCCAGACTCGATTATTTACAGACCACCGCCATACAGCTGGAATATTGACTAGACTCACTCACTCATCAACCGCTGCAGAAACCTTTGCAGTTTCGATCAGCTGGTATTTGTTTCCAATTACTTTTTAAACTTTAAAACAACTTGCTTTAAAAATGCATTGCGTTGTATTCCTTGTGCCCCAAATATGCTTTAGGTTTTGACACAAAAAAATCACAAGGATAATGGACAGAACGGTTTCAATATAGAGCGCCATGTTGAGCGTCGAACACCTTAAAGAACAAATAAACTTTGTTTTTTTTGTACTCTTTCAACTATTACATATGAATGATTTGTGGCTAGACTTATGCGGAACACCAAATTCATTCTTAAAAAACTACCGAGCGATTAAAAGCTGCCAAAAAGTCGCCTGCTTCACTCTCGCCCGCCAACGAAACCACAGACAGGTTACGTAAACATAGAAAGTGTGTAGCAAGCTCGTCATTTTGATGATTTCTCGACATCAACGAAGACATGCCGAATCGTTGCGTTGTCGTCAATTGCTCCTAGGGGTCGCGCGATGGTGTCACCATGCACAGATTTCCACAGGACCCCGCAGTTCGTGCTAAATGGGTTATGTTTGTGAGGGCGAAGCGTTGTGGAAGCCTGAAACGATATCTTATTTGTGTTCAGATCGCTTCATGGAAGTTAAAGAATCAAAACTACTTACTAGTTGTAGTAAAATACGTATATGATTGATGACCATAAAGATTTTCCATGACACAACTTGTAACATAACGATTTCTTACTCGGAAGCGATGTTGTGGTCGAAGTAACAATAATACTGTAAGTAGTATTATATTGACACCCACCTCGCTTCCTCGAGAGGAAGTTATAAGCTATGTCATGCAAAATCCTATTGGCCATCAATCAAATACATAACTTACTACCAGTAGAAAGTAGTTTTGAATTTGTAACTCGGTGAAAATTACACAAGGCCTTTTAGAAAGCGGTCACATGTAACAGAAGTTATATTTGGGATTACACGTTCTTAGTAAAGAGCAGATTCTAGTACTTTTGGGGGGTTGAGTCCCATCAGGGATTCAAACCCACACCCTCAGAGTCAGGCACCTAATTGTCAGCACACAAAGTCAGCCGCTTAACCGCCTAAGCACTGTTTTACTAAGAAAGTGTCATCCCAAATATAGCATATGTCACACCTTAAGGTATAACCCGTTAACTATTTCACAGCTCTACCTTAAACACAAACAGGCACGAGAAATACTGTTGATAAATATCCACCGTGAATGGATTGAAAGAGCCCCGGTTTGATGATCGCTACTGCAAATTCAGAACATCAGTCAAGTCCGAAGGCTCTATCATCAACAAAATGTTTGATTTGACAAAATATTTTATCATTAATCTGGATCTCTTTTATGTATTGAATAACAAACGACAACCATTTATAATGACCAGTATTCATTTTGATCCGTTTATAAATATTTTTGTTGTCAATAAGTGAGGATAATTGGTTTCCTTGTTCCGGGACGTTAATCCCTACCTTATATGCTACATGGCTATAGCGAAAGACGCTCATGCCAAAAGATTGTTCAATCAATCTTTTTCCATTGTTTCTCAACTAATTTATACTATGGGAACTTATATTGACAGAGGAATTACTAGGCGTTGAAACATATGTGGCTTAGGGAAATCAATACTGATATTAATTAGCCAGACCAGACCTATTACCTGTCTATCTGGTATTTGCAGGACAGACCTATATTTCGTCCATCTTGTGTAGGCAGAGCAGAATCATAAGCACTATCAGTTAT